GCTTTATGTTGACAAACCAATCTTTCCTTCCAGTCATGTGTGATGAGCATCCTGAGTCCAAGTACCACTGATCTTGGAATCTTTCTTCATCTTTTGTTGTGACCATTAGCAACGTTTCTTCTTCTTCATGTTTCGCCAGCTTTGCATCAGTCTCTTGATTTCTCTTCCTTTCTGGACAATCACTAGCATAATGACCATACTTCTGGCAATTGAAACACTGAATGTGGATTTTTTCTGGCTTTCGACCACCACCTCTTCCTTTACCTGCAGCACCTCTTTGATTGCCTTGGTTCCAAGGTTTCTTCTGATTCGACTGGTTTCCTCCTTTGTTGCCATTCCAGCTACTTTTGCCTTTTCTTTCCTTTTCTGACTGCGCCTGCAAAGCCATATCTTTCGACTTTCCTGCAGCTCTCTCAGCCATCCTCTATTCATGAGACTCAAGAGTCCCTTGAAGCTCTTCCTTCGTCAACACTGACAAATTTTTCGACTCTTCTATGGCAACTACCACGTGGTCGAATTTTGGAGCCAACGATCTCAAAATCTTTGAGACAACTGCTTTCGTTGTCAGCGCTTCTCCACATACTTTGATTTGATTCACCAACTTTGTAACTCTGTTGAAGAAATCTGTAATGCTTTCGTTGTCTTCCATCTGAAGCAACTCATAAGTTCTCTTGTGAGTTTGTAACCTCACCTCTTTCACCTTTTCTGCGCCTCCAAACGACTTTTCAAGAATCTCTCATGCTTCTTTTGCTGAATCAACATCACTAACCTTTTCAAAGTTATCAGGATCAACACACTGATGAATTATAAAGAGTGCTTTATAATCCTTCTTCTTCAATTCTTTGTGCGCAGCCTTTTCTGCCTTCGTTGCGTTCTCCACCAGCGATGTTACTCCGTCCTTCACAAGATCCCAAAGATCTTGATAACAGAAGATCACCTTAACCTGCTTGCACCAATTCTCATAATTGTCTTTCTTGAGAATTGGCAGGGTCGCCGGAAAGTTGCCGTTTGGATAGTTCATCGCCATCACTATCTTCCTTCCTTGAATCTCTTAACCGGAGCTCTAGATACCAGATGTTGGAAATTCACCTCACACCCTATGAAGAATTCCCTTCAATCTTGATCTCAAGATTGATGAACAAACCCACAATATGATAATGATGGTAATAACAAGTAATTATCAAGAACAACAAAAGAAAAGAAGAACAAACAAGAAAGAGAAGAATGAGAGAAGAAATATTTGAAGAGAATGTGTTACCCACAACTGTGGGATTTCTTATTGCTTATAGAACTTTCACTTGCTAAACACTGCAACTGTGAAATCTATTCTATGTTGTGTTTGAATACAAAGCAAGACACCCTATTTATAGTTTTAGGTTTACAAAAGCCCAAAACATAAAAGGCCCAAAATATTCAAATCAAATCTAATCATATCAAATCAAATCAAAACAATGAATTACATTTAACAATATGTACAAGTTCTCTTACTAGAGATTTTATGTATCCCAAATGTCATTATGAATTTTGTAAGCATTATATGGTTCTGTTTTCAAATATGTATAAGCTCTATTGGTGTATCATTTTGGATATGGGTACATTTGATTTTATAAACAATGAAATTTGATATTCTATGTATATTTAGTTATGTTTTAATTATGTCACAAAATTTGTAGCTTATGTGTAAAAAAATACAGGGCAATCAAATTGAGATTTAAAAATAAATTATAAATGACAAATAAATAGGTTATACCTCTCGAGTAATATATATATATATATATATATATATATATATATATATATATATATATATATATATATATATATATATATATATATATATATATATATATATATATATATATATATATATATATATATATATATATATATATATATATATATATATATATATAATACATTCTTCTTCTCTCGGTTATTTACAAAAATTGAGTGGTATGTGGCGAGCTGTTTATAGTTTTAAAAATAAAAAAATATTGTTGTTGTGGATCAAATCAATGATCTTTACAACTGTCCCCTCGGTGGAACAAACACTAAGGGGTAAAGTGACAAGTTTTCACATCACAATTTATTACCTCGCTTGTGAAACTGAGGTAAAATCCCTTTTTCCACTAAGGTAAAATGTATTTTCTTTTTGTAGCAGTGAGGTGAACATGTTCTCGTGTATGGATGCAAAAGGCTTTATATAGATTGGATTTTTGAAATTATTTATCGATCCTCCCAACCCTAGAGGTTGGGATATTCATATATGGTCTTATTGGCCGGGTAAGTATAGAGAAACAATTTTGCCCTAACTTCCCAACGAGTATGTGGGAGTTGGAGGGTGATGGACTCCTCTTCCTAAATTAAAGGGACAATTTCATCCTTTACTGAGAGGACCAAAACCAACTTCTTCTAGACATCTCATCTACTACGTATCGGCAAGATGGTTAGGTGATAGACACAGGTTTGGGGCATACGATCCAAATCATAATTGGGCGACCCGAAACCACACCAACTAAACTTGTTTAATAGCTTTTTCACGATATTTTGGATCGCTTAGACCCTGAACTGCTATTCTCCAAATTCAATAAAATTACCTCAATCTAAAACAATTTCTATGAGATTAATACAAAAAACAAGAAATATCAATATTATTTGCATCTGAAGCATATTTTCACATTGATTAGTATATAAAAAAGTTATATATATTTTTAAATAAAATCTTTCATTTTTTTAAATAGAGGATTATTGTTGAAATAGAATCTTTGTGTTAAAGGAAAACTAGTAATATTGATGTTGTTGTTCATCATTAATCCACTTTGTTGCGACCCATTTCTCTCCCTTTATCACAGGACAACTTCCATGAAGAGAATTCTGCGCAATATTTAGAAACCAACAATGTAAAAACAAATAAAATAACACGACTATTACAACAATGTCTCTTTTACCATAAAGTTTTTACATGTATCTTCTCTTTGATTCAAATGAAATTTTATATCTCCATATGCACTATAAAATGAGAGAGTACCTTATCAATTTTCCCATTTGGAAACACCGAATAAAATAAAAGTCCATCACCTTGTTGAGGCTTTACCTTCAAACCAATGCATTTTTGGTAATCATAATTTGTATCAACATTTAAACCATCCTAAAAGTTGAAATATATAATTAGTATCAATACAAAGATTCACAATGTAAAGTATAAAGATGACAAACATTTACCTCATAAGGGAACATTGTTTCTCCTCCCATTTCTACATTTGATAGGTATAACAAGAAGGAAGCAATCTGAGACAATTAAGCATGATCACATAAAATCAATCTTTTGATTGGTATAGGAAGTAATCATAACTATTAGAAACTCACACGCATGACCATGACTTCGGTATTGACGTCCACCTTAGTAATACAGACTTTTTACCCATTGAGTTAGGATTTACGAACATGAGAATCATAATCTTTATTTACGTTTTATTATGTCACAAAATGAATCTTAACAATGAAGAAAGTATATACCCTTTGGCTATCAACATGGCCATACTCAGCTGGATCGAAAGCATCATAATGAGAATCATATTTTTGGCCAACTTCATACCTTAATATATTGAAATCCTGCAAAAACAAAAGACAAAGAGAACATTATCAATTTTATCATGTATATGAACAAACACTTAACCATTTTATGAAAACTAAATTAAATAGAGCCATACTTCTCCATAGGTCTTTGGAATCATTGTAACCTTAGCAATTTTCGTCTCAATGATATCCAAAATCCCTGATTTATCGTCTGATGCACCAATGAACACACCTGAACTGTTTCCAAATGAGTTCAAATATTCTCGAAAAAAGTTGTAAGAACAATCATTAATATCATTTAAGTTTACAATAATAGTAATAATAATGATATTACCTTGTTCTAGCGCCTTTTGCGCTCTCTTCATCTTCTCCTTCTCGCAAAGCTAGCTTTGATGGTTCAAGCACTGGCTTTGCCATTTCAATTATCTGCTCACATGTTTCTGCACTTGTGAAGTTTGGAAAGTAAACTACTCTTGGATTCAAACTCAAAATCTGCATAAATTGTATTTTTATTTTAGATTGAAATTGTTAGAATAAAAAGTGTATAATGTGTTCATTGTAATAATAATTTTATCATTTGAATCAATACTACAAAATTCATTATTCTTTTAGTTATTTCTTTCTTGCTCAACCATACTTTTCAATCGAAATTATAAAATAAGAGAAATAACCTGAAATGGGATTGATTCAACAATGGATTCACCAGATTTACCATGTTGGATAGGGTCATACTCTTTCTTTACAGAATCTTGGAGTATTCTGAAGTGGGGTCTCTCATCAACAAAATTCTACAATAATTATCAATGATGAATATGAGATTGATCGAGAAAGGTATCATAAAAAACCAAAGGAACAAATCATAGAGGTACCTGAAATATGATAGGAGACACAAATAAACCAAAAAAGAAGAAAATTGTGCAAAGACACAAAATAGGTATTCCCAACTTCAATTTGGAGATTTTCACTTTTCCTTTCATGGCTTCAAAGATCAAATAGAATAAGTTTATTTTTTCCCTTTAAATTCTTCAATAATTTTTTCCCAAGAGACTCTGTTTTTGTGTAAAATGTTACATGATCAAACCATGGTGAGTTTTTTTTTGTTAATGCTTCTGTTACAGTGATGAGATGAGAGGTTTCAATCTAAACACTTCCACTTTTTAGGTTATGTATGCCATGTGTCATTTTAATTATTTTTTTATTTTAAATTGTCCTTATCCTATAAAATATACTAATATTTTCCATATTACTGGAAATTCCGTTAAGTTTATTAGAACTTTCCTGGAAAATAAAAAGAATGATGGTCCGTTACTGTATGAATTCTTCCGGGAAGTTACGTTGACATTTCATTTTCCATCTCTATCTTTTTATTCCAATATTCGTCTCTAATCTCACATCGACGAAAAATTCGTAGGTAATCGCAGTGTATGACGAGCGCTTCAGAGCTATTCCACAACAGGAGGCACCGATTAGTACGCAATGATCTCGATTCATCTTTCCACTCTTCACCTTCTCCCGACTTCCATAACCACCGCTTCCACGACTCCGACGACGATGATTCTCTCCGTATCCGCCGTCACTACAACGTCCGCCGCATCCGTCATCCGGTACCGTTCTCAATTCACATTACTTTCTTACATATAAATTTAATTGATACTCTTAATTTAGAAAGTAGTGTGTGTTTGTGATTTTTATCGAATTGTTTTTGTTGATTGAAAATTGAGACTGTGAATTAGGGTTCTGTTGTGGTTATTATTGATGGAGTGAAATTTGATCAACTGGATTTCGTATTTCGTGATTGTTAGGAGCGTGCTTCGGATAGATTTGATGCGAGGTATCGTCGGTCTCTGTTTCATGATAACTTTGATTCTGGAGAAAGTGTGAGAGGAACTCCGAGTGCGAGTGGCGGTAACAGATTGCCGGTAGGTGTGAGACTTGCGCGAGAAAGACTCCTTCAGAGGTTGAGAGGAGAGCCTGTAGATAGAAACAGGTTTGATTTTAGTTTAACTCGGTATTCAACTTTTTTTCTCTTTTTCATTTTCTTGAAAATGCAGGCTAGAAATAGTAATATTGATATGTTTGTAGAACTAATAGTATGCTACTATATCAAATGTTAGGTTGGGTATTTGAGGTTAAATTGTGAGGTTGAAATGCTAGCATTTGAAATCAATTGTTTGTGACATGATTATATGGTAAATTTTGGCAACTAAGGTCGTATTCATTGTTCATTCATTTATGAGTTATGTTATAGAAAGTAGAGTAAATAAGCATTGAGTTCAATTCTATTCAAATTTGCAAAAAATTGCAATTTTTTTTAAATAAAAATTTGTCTGTCAATTTATTCCCTTAAATTTCTTTCTCATTGTGTTCAATTGTTGTTTGTATCTGATACAGATTCTATTGGTCCCATTTCTTTCTCCTTCTGTTCAATTGTTGTTTGTATCCGACATAAATTCCCTTGGTCCCTTATCATTTTATGTGGGCTCTCACTAGTTTCCTTGTTGGTGGTATTTCATTGGCTTTTGATACTGCCATTTGGGCCTCACTTTGTTATTTTTCTTTCTCTGTTTGAACAAAGATGTTGCTTTTCAAAATATTTTTTCTGACTAGTTTCATTTTACATAAACAGCAATCTCTAATTGACAATAATATATCATGAGAAATAATGTCATTAGATTCTATTCAAAATTGGCCAGAAGATTATTAAGAGAAACCCAATTGCATCATTAAGAAATATTTTATGACTTGAATTGCGTAACAAAACTGCACAAACGCAGAAGTATGCATCTAGAAGTGTAGTGGACAACCCTTAAAGCATAGATCAATGTGTTCCGTTGATGTAGTCCTCCAAGAAATTAATTTCTTGCATATGGAATTTGGGCCTGTTGTCTTTTATGCACTATCTGTTATGTTTGCATAACAAAATCTTTATCTTTAGAGCGTATGAATCATGGATATTAATTTTTGGTTAGTATTATGGATGACTATTGTGCATACTTATTGCTCAAAATTTTCTTTACTTAAGTAATATGTTCCAGTTCAAGGGATTATATTGAACTATGTTTGTTTTCTTCTCTAGAAATTAGGATTTTGCCCCACTTTGTTTGTTGAGTTTATCAGGCACATTCTTGTTTTTTCATAGAACTTGTCTTTTCCTCAAGGAGATGCTTTTGTGGCATACAATAATCAGACTTTTGATCTTTTTTCATGGTTGAGTCCTTTTCATAAGCTGATTATTAGAAAGAATTCCACTGCACATTTGACATTAAATTTTCTTCTGTATCATTTTTTGGCTGTTTGTTCTTGAAGATCTGCCATTGCCTTTCATTCAGTTTGAATTTTTACCTTATTTTGCGGGGTTGATTTCCTCAGGCACTATGATAGAGATCCAATCGACGAGGATCAAGAAAGTGAGTTATCAATTGAACTTCCAACCGAGGACTCTTTAATTACTGACTTGACTTCTCAAATGGCAAGGTTCCAGCTCTTGCAAGAAACATCCTCAAAGCCACCTGGACTCACCCAGGAGGCCGTGGATTGTTTGCATCTTGAAGTTTTTAGCAGCAGTAATACGGAATCAGAATCCAGGATACTGCAAGATTGTGGGATATGCTTGGAATCTTTCGCAGATGGAGATAAACTAATCCATTTGCAATGTGGACATAAATTTCACTCTGCTTGTTTGGATCCTTGGATTCGCAGTTGTGGAGACTGCCCATACTGTCGCCGATGTATAGTTGTAAGTAATCGGTCTCCAAAGAATGAAGCTGTGTAGTTGCTTAGATTTTCTTTTGTTCTGTTACTACATGAAGGATGCTGCAATGGAGGTGGCATTTTGTAGTAATGTGGTGTTTTATTTAGGGAATAAGGAACACTTTCTAACTGATAACCATCACTCTCATGTAGGTCTCGGGCATTTTATGTGAGATCTATTAAGTTTAAGACACAAATAAACTTATCTAGAAATTCCTAGGTTTTTTTTTCTTACATTCAACTATGTGTTACTTGAGTGAATCAGAACCCGAGTTCATATGTGCCTTTGCTCCACCGAAGAAGAGAACCACTGGCAGAGGATACAAAATATGATAAAAGGGTCTGTTATGTACCTATGATAGGATAAAGTATTTATAATATGTTAGTTTTTATGAATTATTATTATTATTATTATTATTATAGGGCATTTATTGTGAAATTTTTTTACCAATAAGAAAAAGTGATATTAATGTATTTATTGTGATAATATAAGATACTAATGAAAATGGAAATTTTTTATTTTAATTAAAGAATATGATGAATATAGTTTAACAATTTAATTGTTAAATGAATTTGAAACTATATTCAAACTATATTCAAATTGATTCGGTTAATTTTTGGCACTATTTACACTGTTTTAAGGTAAGTGATTAATATGCAAAGTATGCAAGCGTTGAGTTTGATATCTATTAACGAGTAAAGAGTGAATATTCTATAATTTAGTAATTGATTTAATTGGAAATATATTAAATTTTATACTGGCAGTTAATCTAATCATAGACGTTGGATGATTGAATTTTTATTTTAATAATTTATGAAGTAATGCGATGGTGATGAATGACAGTGTAAAATTTTTTAGTTATATTATCAGTATATAATAATTAATCTTTTTAGTAATTTCATGACTCAAATAAACAAATAAAGGCTTAAAAGGCTTAACAAACGACGGAAGTTTTCATGATATAAATATGTTATCGTTGTAAATATAAAAGAAATAAAAGTTTAAAAGGCTTAACAAATGACGGAAGTTTTCATAAATTTAATAATAGAACATTTATTTCCCGACCAAATATGTGACAGGGTGGGGGAACGGGCACCATGAAAATATCCCGGGTGCTGGTGGCAGGGAGGGACGACATAACCTTCCTCGGCGGCGCCGACCGTCAGATCCACCACCCGAGGCTCCTCGGACCTCTGCCTCTTCGACACTCCTTGGGACACAGGGGATTGGCTCTCTTGAGGCGACGAGGACGAAGTTTGACCCCCCTGCGTCGCGACCTCCTGACTGACCAGCTGACTCACCCTCGTCCTCGGGACCCCGGCACTCCTGGCAGCACGCAACTGCTTCACCCGCTCGTCGACAGTAGACATGTTCGCTGCAAAAACAAAGAAATAGGTTAGCGACGATCAAAAACCCCGACCACGAGGGAAAACGAAACATCCCTACCTAGATAATCCAGAGCGGCCGCCCCGGTCGCGCAGCCGAGCAAAGTCTTAGTATTTATCAAACGCTTTTTAGTGCGTATGTTCCCCTGGGCATCGAGGATGTACCGACCGTCGGGCGTCACCAACTTCGACGGGGGAAGTGACCGCACAAAGGCAATTATTTTTAAATAAGCGGCCATGTCCTTCTCCTCGAGGGTTCCCGCCCGGACGATATACCTATCCGTCCCTCGACTGAAATGCTCCGAGGTCCACAGCAGATGTATCTTAGGAAGCCACGCGCGGAACCGCTGGCCATCTACCGTGCGCTCGCCCTCGTCAAAGAGAGTGTCCGATCCGTACTGCGTGATCGGTTTGACGAGGTAGAACCGACCCTTGAAGTCTTTGACAGAATCACTATACGCTTTGAAAATTTTGGTCGATTGTTTGAAAGAGACCCATCCGTGACGACCTCGCACCGTCTGACGCTGCAAATGAAAGATGCGAAAGAATAACGGCACCGTCGGCTCCACCGAGAGGTAGAAACACACCACTTCAAAAGCCCGGATGAAAGCCAAAGCGTTTGGGTGCAGCTGAGACGGGGCAAGACGCAGCCAGTCGAAAATCCCCAGATGGAAGGCGGAAAACGGCAACCGGAGCCGAGCTTCCTTAAAATAAAACTCGTACATCGGGAACATCTTCCGCCCATAGCGCGAACAGATCCGGTGATGCGCTTTCGGGCGATACACCTGCCAGTGTTGCGTTTCTCCTAGCGGCGTGTCCTCGACCGTGGCATACACGTCGGACGGGTCGACCACAAAACAAGAAGGGATGGTAAGTGGCTCCTCGGCCGCCCACTCCTCGGGCGAGGAGACGCGCCCGTCGTCATACTCCGGGACCTCGGGTTCATCATCTTCAACCATTATCCCCGGCACCAGAGCCGACATCTACACCTGAAAGCAGAGGACCTCGGTGAATTCGATAGCCAGGATCAAATCCACCCTTCCACCGCAAGTCAAGTGAAAGGGCGACAAAGGCCGAGGGGCGGCGAGCAGACATTCGCTCCCCGCCTACCCTCCTCGGGGATCGAAGAACGACCCCTCAGCCCTTCGGGGCGGCCATCGGAGAAGATACTTCTCCCCGGGGCAGTCATCAGAAAAAGCCCCCGTCCTCGGGGCATTCATCGGAGAAAAGCCCCCGTCCTCGGGGCATTCATCAGAAAAAGCCCCCGTCCTCGGGGCATTCATCGGAGAAAAGCCCCCGTCCTCGGGGCATTCATCAGAAAAAGCTCCTGTCCCCGGGGCATTCATCGGAACTAGCCTACCGTCCCCGGGACATTCATCGGAAAACTCGCCAGACGCGGCGGAACTCGCATCCCTCCTCGGGGCGTTCATCGCGCCCCGACCACACGTCCCAGTTAGACGACGAAAATAAAAGAGAGGGAGAAGAGGAACTCACTTGTAACGGCGGCGGACGGAAGAAAAAGCGAATGGCACGGCGTTGATCGGCGGCGAACGGCGGACGGGCAGAGACGATGAAAGATCAACAGGGAGAAAAGTAGCAGAATGAGCGGGGACCGCCATATTTATAACCCGGCGCGAGGCTCGAAGCGACCCTAGGCTCATTAATGACATAGGTTAGCCGCCCCTACGACCGCTCAACGCAAGACACGTGGAAGCAGCCTGACAGTCGCGTCTCTCCATCTGCCTCCTCCCCGTTCTACCGACGACCGGAGCCCTTCGCACGAGTCCCCCGCTCCAGACGTGACGACCTTAAGTCCTCGCTCTTCCCCAGAGCTTCGACTTGGGGGGCTCCTGTTCCGGTGTGGGCCTCACCTCGGCAGGCCCAATACCAAATACGGCCCAACAGGCGAACTGAGCACACCTGGCACACGCCCCTTCGGACGAGCAGGACCGTCCGCCGGGCACAAGCCATCACGCCGCATCCCCTTCGTCGTCCGTCACACCAGACGAGCGAGACTACCCGGGCTCCCTCCGCGGGAGAATAACGTGCTCGGCGCACGTTCTCCACGTGCTCCCCTCCGCGGGGACACGTCATCGGCCAACCGCCCACCTCCGAAAGAGCAGGTCAAACCCACTTTCCGGAGACCTAGGAGCGGTTGAACTAGGGCGAAGACCACGTCCTGGTCTTCACTACGCCACGTAAGCCCTAGCAGTCATTAGGGTTGGGCCTGGTCGTCTGGCCCACCTCGAATGACCGTTGGCCCAGCGCTGGGGTCTCTCTATAAATACCCTCTTCTTCAAGAGGGTCAGGTAACTCTTCTTGCCCCCTTTTCTGTACTATTGCTTCCTCTCTGTCCAACTTCTTACTTGGGCGTCGGAGTGCTTTGCAGGTACACCCCTTCCTCGTTCTTACCTCGGCGAACAGATAACCGTCCGGCGAAGCGTGGCCAGTCCGTGATCCCTCCTGATCAGGTCAGATCATATTTTAATAATTTATGAAGTAATGCGATGGTGATGAATGACAGTGTAAAATTTTTTAGTTATATTATCAGTATATAATAATTAATCTTTTTAGTAATTTCATGACTCAAATAAACAAATAAAGGCTTAAAAGGCTTAACAAACGACGGAAGTTTTCATGATATAAATATGTTATCGTTGTAAATATAAAAGAAATAAAAGTTTAAAAGGCTTAACAAATGACGGAAGTTTTCATAAATTTAATAATAGAACATTTATTTCCCGACCAAATATGTGAAAATAGGATCAGGAGGTTTGTTTGTCGGGACTGTGGTTGGTAATACAATTTGGTTTTGTCAACAAAAACAAAATTGCTCAATACAGCTGGGAGGTCTGACCTGGAATTGTGGTTGGTAATTTAAGTAGGCGAAATATTTTGTGTGCATTGCATAAGCTGTTTAAATTCAGATACTCCCTCCTTCTCAAAAATGTTTCATTTGTATTTCTTTAATATTAAATAATTATTTATTTACGATTTCAATATAATCATTACTACTTTTTTCACTACTACTCATTCCGTAACAAAATATAAGCAACAATTGGTCATATAAAATGGAGCAAAATATAAACAAAAAATTGACTTTTGATAGTATATTCAATGATAACATATCAAAAAGTATCTTAATTTAATTTAGTTAGTCATATTAAATGAAACAATTTTTTATATTATCAATGTTTGTAGTGACTACATCTTTCTGACAATTAAAATCATGTTGAATGTAAACAATTATCAATTAAATATCGACGAAATACAAATGAGAATGAAACATTCTTTCTATCTAAAATCTTTGTAATAAGCTCAAAACAATTATTAATTAAATATTTAATTTACTCTCACAAGTTTTTGACAATTAGACTGGAGTTTTATACTAGCTATCCTCCCAACTAAATATGAGATTTTACACATGAAAATCTCAAACCAATAAAAGCTTTTACATCAGGTTAAGCTCATGAACTAAACAAAGCGTTTGACGGATAATCTCACAAACCAAATGAAATCTTTTACATCGGGATTAGCTCACAAACCAAATGGAGATTTGGAAGGAAAATCTCACAAACCAAATGAGAGATTTTACTTTGGGCTAAACTTACAAACCAAACAGAGATTTTGACTAAT